TCCTGCCTCCGCCTCCCAAGTAGCTGGGACCACAGGCGCCCGCCACAACGCCCGGCTATTTTTTGGTTGCAGCCGTCATTGTTGTTTGGCGGGTCCGAGCTGGGGATTCGAACCCACCACCTTAGGTGTACGTGGCTGGCGCCTTAGCTGGTTGAGCTATAGCTTTTTTCATTGTTTCAGGTTAATTTGAGGATACAAAGAATTAGGTTACAATGTTTGCATTTGTTAGGTAGAGTTCCTCTTATAATTATGTTCCACCCCTCAGAGGTGTGCCATACACCTAACATTGTGCCCATTACTGGGGGCATACCCATTCACATCTTCCCTCCCCGTGGCTGTACATTTTTAAATGGTTGGGGAAAAAATTAAATAACATTTTGTGACAAGTGAAAGTAACATGAAACTCAAATTGCAGTGTCCATAAATAAAATTTGACAGGAGCACAGCCACGCCCCCCTGTTTATATATTCTCTCTCTGAGTCTACACTGCCATGCTGGAGTTGAATGGCTGCAAAATGAGTCTTGAATGGCAATAAGAAAAAAAGTATGTGTAAAATTCTCATGAGAAACCATTTAATCTATATATAGCTTGTGAACTGACTTCTTTTGAAAAAAATTACAGTAATGATTTGTTACAGGCTAAGGCAGGAGGACTGCTTAACTACCGTAGGACTATATGGCTCCCAAAGCCTCAAATATTTACTATCTGGACCTTTCAATCCTTTCCCTAGAAGACACAAAATTTTTATTTGTTTATTTACTCTTATATTTCCAATACCTAAAATAGTATCTGGGATACAGTGGGTAGTAAGTAAACATTTGTTGAATGAATAAGTGAATAGAAAGATGTCCCAATGGCATGCTTTTCCTAACAAATGATCCAAAGTGAATGCAAATCTTTATATGCCTTGGAGACTGACAAACTAAAGCTCCTTAGAAGGAGTAGGATTTCACGAGTTTTCAGATCCAGTATTTTTTGGCAAGGACAGAAAGTCTGGAAACCAAATTTATGCATTGCATGATCCCTGTTCCTTTTTCAAAATCAATTTGGATTCTACCAAAGCTTCTATTGTCCCTATGAGAATGACCCAATTGATTACAAATATTAATTAACTAATAAGAAAATTCATTGATATAGACTAATTGTAAACCGGTTTTTACAAACTTTCAAATGGTAGCAGGATAGACCTTTTAACTAAATTTTATGGAGCCATATTGATCAGAGAAATATAAAACCAAGGTTTATTTTCCCTTTAATTAATTCTCAATTGACTATGTTAGTCCTGAAGGACAAATTTAAACATATTTCATAATAGCAACATATTTTTAGCACTTTTTATGATTAGCAAAATACTATACTTTATCTTATTTTTCCTTAGTTTAAAAATGAAAAAATTGAGTCTCAGAGAGATCCGCAAATCTTGTCAGAAGACAGAGAGCTCATTTTAAACTGTAGAGGCAGAGGTTGCAATGAACCTTGCTAATTCCTGGTTACATGAGCCACCGGAGAAGCTGGCCCTGGAAACGGATGTGCAGCATTACAGATAATTTTTAGAATCTAAGAATTTCTGGCTAGTCTAATTCTATAGTTCACAAATAAGGCAATAACTCTTTAGCAGTAATGTTTTCAGGCCCATTGTAGTGGCTCATGCCTGTAATCTTAGCACTCTGGGAGGCCAAGGTCAGGAGTCTGCAAGCAGCCTGAGCAAGCACAAGACCCTGTCTCTATTAAAAACAGAAAAATTAGCCAGGTGTGGTAGCAGGCGCCTGTAATCTCAGCTACTTGGGAAGCTGAGGCAGGAGGACTGCTTGAGCCTAGGAGTTTGAGGTTGCTGTGAGCTATGAAGACACCATAGCACTCTAGCTGGGTGACAGAGTGAGATTCTACCTAAAAAAAAAAAAAAAAAAAAGAAAGTAGTAAGTTTTCATCTGATTACTTATGTTACTCTAATCCTCAAGTGACCCATTTTTTTCCAACATATCTCTTTAAAAGATAAACAGGCTAGCAAAAATGCTGGCTGAAAGAGAGCATGACCCAGTTTATGAGAGAGATGGTGCTGCAATTCCTTTATCTTCTTCTATAGGAAAGTTTCCATTAACCAGTTTTACAAATAACTGTGATTGAGTGCTTGTCATATACATCAGGCACTATTCTAATTCTGGGTTTATAATAGTAAATAAAATGGACAGACTCTATACCTTCAATGAGCTTATGTTTTAGTGTTGAGGGGGAGAGAAAAAATATGTTAAATAAGTATGGGAGATAGCTTCAAGGGTCAATAAATGATGCAAAGAAGATAAGATAATGTAACACAGAGTAACTGCAGGAAGAAGTGTAGCAAAAGTGGTTAATGCAGGCCTCTCTGAGGACATGGCATTCAAGTTGAGGCCTAAATGAAGAAAAAACAGTTACTAGTCTCTGTGGCAGAAACTGCTATTTGCTTCCTAATAGCCATTCACCCTTTCTTCTTTGGTAATCCAATCCCAATTTTTAACTGGGCACAATGCCACCTGGGTAAAAGATTTCCCAAGCTCCCTGAAATCTGGTATGGCCACAGGCTGAGCTATAAAGAGAAACATTCTATGGTATTTATGGGCAGGGTCCTTAAAAAGGAGAAGCATATCATTCTAGCTCTGTTTCTTTTATCCAAGAGCCACCTTAGATGATGAAAATGAAGAAAACACCTTGAAAAGAGTAGAGTGGCAGGAAGGAGTCTAGGTTCCCAACAACTTCCTACTGGCTATGGACTGTCTCCCCTATGGGTTTCTTTAATGTAAGAGAAATAAACTTCAATCATGCTTTTTAACCCACTGTTGTTTTGGAGTTTCTGCAACATAAACTCAAACATCATTCTAACTAGTATAGTTCATTCAGTTAAATGTTATACTGTTCTGCCTTCAATGGAGACAATACAGACTTACAGGGAAACATCCATTATTGCCTCTACAGAATCTATATTCAAAGTAACTACATAAACTAACACTTGAAAATAGTAAGCAAAAAAATCTAAATTTTATATTAATGACACCGACTGTAGGAACAATTGCCAAAATTGCAAAAGAAACTAAACAATGAAAATGTGCATAAACTATTTTTGCAAAAGTAAGCACTAGGTAACAGAAAACTGCTTTAAATAATACTTTCACTATGGGTAAGAAAAGAATAGTTTCTGCTTACTTTGGCAATATTTAGGATTTTAGTATAGCTCGCAAGAAAGCATGGTATCCTTACCTTTGACACATTCATAAAACTTGGCTTCGCTGTTGAAATCAAGCCCAAGGTGTGGATAGAACAATTTACCAGCTGAGAAAGTATATCACAGGCAGCTTCTGCAGACTCTGTACTACTATCAACCTATAAAGAGAATTTTTAATCTTAAATAATTTATCTAAAGTTACTGGCAATATAATTATTTAGTAGAAATCAATTACAAAGTTTTATATATACCTTCAAGCAATAATAGAAATAAGTATTTTTTCTTTATACCAAGTACCCCAGACTATAACGTGAAAACAAATGATGACAAAGTAACTTTCCAACCACTTCAGAGCTTCAAGTCTTTTACAATTACCTGAACTTTCATAACGGCATACAAAGGAGGGAAACTGAATTTTAAGTTTTTTAATTCCAGATCAAATTCTGTATCTCTATCTACACAAATAATTACAGACAAACAGGAAAATGACACAAATTCTGCAAAATGCACTGACTGCCTCAAATTAAGGACTGAGACATCCAAATATGTTGTTAACATAAGTCATTGTTTTTATGTAATGCTTACTCTTCTTACCTTAAAGCTGACATACTGGAGATGGGCAGCATGCTTTTTAATAATTTGCTGAATGAGATCAGGATGAGTAGATTTAAAATATGAAGTAGCTGACTGGTTCAGCTCGAATTCAAACTTTCTCCACAGGTCAGGAATATGAAACACTTCATTCCATCTCCTACACACAGAAGACGCACGGGCCCGGTCTATTAAAGGAAGATACTGAAAAATCTGTAATAGCACATGAAGAGGCAAACTGCCCCAGTCAAGAACAGTGTACTCATGAGTCTGGTTGAAAGAAGAGTAGAACTCAAGTTTGGGCTGTTTTGCTGTTGGTGAAGACGGGACAATTTTATTTGCAACAGGCAAATTGTTCCTCTTCATTCTGTAAACATTAAAAAATGTTAAGTTTTTGATCATTTTTTCAGACTCTAACTACAGAAAATAACGTTTGAAAGTGAAAAGCAATTAACACAATCCTAGTAGTCATCTTCCACTTTCTCGCACTGATAGGTGCTGCTTTGTGCTGGGGACTCAGAGGTAATAAGTACAGACCTGTTCTCAAGGAGCTGTGGTCAAAGGGTGAAACACAGTGATAAATGTTCACCTAATGTGGGCCAAGTCTTGATGGAAGAAAAATAAATTGGCATTTGACTGAATCTGTGTGTGGAAGAGGCAGCTGGGGGGGCTTGCAAGAGGAAATGTCTGAGGAAGCAGTGTATGTCCCAGGATTATCCCTAGTCAATTACTGTATGTTTCTATTGCCTACAAAGCAGAAAGCATCATTTTTTAACTGTGCTAAGAGCTCCTGGGAGGTCTGGGAGACAGTAAAGCACAATAAAAAGCACAGGTGTGAATTTTAGCTCAGCTCTGTCACTTACTAACTGTACACATACGATCTTGTTAGAGCAAATTAACTTCCCTCCTCTGTAAAGCAGGGATAAAAGCAGTACCTATCTCGTAAGGTTACTGCGAGGAATGAAGTACTTTAAATGCCAACTGACAGCAAGTGTTCCAGTCTGTTGCTATATTAAATTGTCCAATGCAGTTCTCTTACTATCCATTACTCAAGTCCAAAGCACAAAAACTCAAATGATCTGCAGCAACTTTCAGGTGACAGCCTGGATACAGAAACTCTAGAGAGGCTAGACATGGCAGGGACAAAGTCTTTGTGTAACACCCCTGATCCTCTCCAGTTAAAGTAAAACAGCAAAGGAATGAGCATTCTTCCCCTCCAAAAAGAAATAATAAATCGCCAGGTATCAGCCAGCTCAGGACATAAGAAGTTTGAAGTCCAGGTATATTCAAATATACATGGTCATTTTGCAGATCTATTTTATTTAAGAATCCAAAGCATTTTAAGTATACAATTATTTGAAAGAGAAAATAATGGTAACAGTGGTTCTGAAGTTTACCTTTCATTAACTATTTAACCCTCCTTTCACCTTTCAATATTAGCCATATACACAAGGAAGATTCAGTGTCATAACTGAAACATACCTTCAAATGTAATTATTTTTTAATATGTAAATATTTCTGTTTTGTGATTCACTCTGTATGAGGTGAAACATTTCTTAACCACAACATAGAGTTGGATCCCAGAAGCAGGTCTGACCTATAAAGTAACTGAACAAATAAAAAGTCATCTTTAGGGTTTGGAAAACTGAAATGGAAAGGAGAAACAGTTCCAAAGCTGTATCTCAATTTTGTTTCTAATTGTTTCACTTGGAAAACTACAGAACAGATAGTTAACATTTCACTGAATTATTGCAAAATAAATTAGCCCTGATATAATCCTTTGCTATAAAAGCAGTGAAGCCAAACATAAAATAAAGACTTCATCCAAATCCTGGGTTAGAGAACTGCCTTACAGTTCTAAACAAAGTGATTGTTCTATATATTAAATATCATTGTATATAACATAAATTGATACTTAAAATTACTTAGTAAAATTATTGCATTTGCCAACTCACTGAGAAGAAGAATCAATACAAATAGGATATTAATGCCCATAATTTATGAAAAAGAACACTTTAAATTTTTTTCCTTGTTTACATCCATTTTCAGAGCCTAAAACTCACCCACAAAGCATAAGCTTCATATAAAATAATTTCACGGCTACGTGCATTATAATATATATTTTAGAATGTAAGACAAATTGATCTTTATTAGCTAGAAAATATTGATATAAACATTCTGGCCTAAACATATGTGATCATTTAAAAAAACGATCATTTCTTTTTCAAGCCTTTCTTACCTAAGGATGGCTTCCAAGTTATAAGTCACTCGGAACCAACGCAGTGAAGTAACTGCTGCCGTGGGGTACTCACCGACATCCATTTGATTTCACTTCCTATCTTGGCAAAATACCACAAGAACATGTTCATCAGAATATATTAATAAACATCCAATAATTTTATGCTTAGGATATAAGGATTTTGTTACGATATAATTGATTCCAGAATTATTTTTTGTTCATAAAAAAACTAACCTGGTCAGTGGAAATACTTCAACACTTGCCAGAAATTATACTTGAAGCTCTATCAAGGCTTAATTCATAAATCAAACAGTCAAAGGACTCTGAAAATTCATTTTACTTAACAGGTATACAGAGATAATACAAAAGATTTAAGGTAGTTCCCGACTACAATTGTTTACAGGCTGTGTAAACCTTTGTGTTCCAGTTTATATCATTAAAGTGTAATAACTAAATAGGCAGGCCGATAACTTTTCTTTTATCATTCTTATATGAATATGGTTTGACTAGTCTGCTGTTAATAGGACATATGCTTCTGAATCTTAAAAAATTTCATTTGTATAGACAGAATCGACATTGATTCATTCATATCTCCCTGGGGTTTGACAAATTTCAGGAACAGTTAGGACCAAAGTCTAAGGACACAGAAGAAAATAATAAGAGGTCTATACCAGGATTAAAAAATCATGACCTTGGCATCATGAATAAATGTTTTAAAGTAAAAATAAATAAGTAAATATCTTCTCCTACTTTGTAAAAACCAAACTCAACTACATAGAGGAGGTAAATAAAACATTGTAAAAATTTTCTCATAAATCTTTACTGGGTAGCATCTGCTAGTTCTCTATTTCTCTTTGAATCTCACCCCCCACCCCTCTCAAAGGAAAACTGGGAAGGACAGACAGAGAAAATGTATTCGGGCTCAATATTCACAGTTTGATTGTCCCACTGCCACATGCTGTTTCACTGAAAGCCAAGCCACTGTTTTCAGATAATGTCAAGGCTGGCTCTCCCTCCTTTAAATTCCTGAAGTGGGGTGAAAGGGACACTGGAGTTAAGAGGAACAGCAGAAACAAGGCAGACGAGTCCAGTGACTTGTATTCCCTCAACCAGACAAACACAATTCTATTTACTGCAAAAACTTTTCTACTGAGTTACACTGTTGGCCATTCTTTATGCAAGAGCTGGGGTGTCCAACCTTTTTTTTCCTCTGTCCCATAATGGAAGAGTTATCTTGGGCCACACATTAAATACACAAACACTAACAAAAGCTGATTAGCAACAAAAAAAGGTCTGTGCATACTTTTCATGATATCCAACATTACAGATAAGCAAAAAAAAATCCTTACAAAATCAGCATACAGCCCAGGGGGCTGTAGGTTGGACACCCCTGTGCTCCAGGATACTGATATAATCTGGTAAGGCTATAAGCAGGGACTTGCTACCTAATACTGATAAGAAGATGGTGCACAAGTAACCTATTTCAATCGGTTCATGAAAGTTTTCAGGATCTAATTAATTACTTTCCAGTTGCTGAAGGAACTTGATTGCTGCAGAGTCATTATGTGGAACTTTGAGGACCAGTAGAGGACAAAACCAGAATACAGGACATCATTAAGTGACAAACTGTACTTCCAAAAAAGGAGAAATAAGCAAGTTGGCCCTGACCTTGAGCACAATTGGAAACAGGTTTATTTGCATTTAGCAACGAATTATTGATAACTCAAAGATCACTTAGTGGCTTCCCTAACCATTTAATCCATATTCCTCCTGTGATATGTTTTTTCATTTGGTAGATCAGGTGATCACGTGAATAGTATTCTCTAAAAGTACCTAAGAAATCTCCCATAGAATTCTGGAGAGCAGCTCGGCGCCTGTGGCTCAAGCGGCTAAGGCGCCAGCCACATACACCTAAGGTGGCGGGTTCAAATCCCCAGCCCGGGCCCGCCAAACAACAATGATGGCTGCAACCAAAAAATGGCCAGGTGTTGTGGCGGGCGCCTGTGGTCCCAGCTACTTGGGAGGCAGAGGCAGGAGACTCGCTTGAGCCCAGGAGTTGGAGGTTGCTGTGAGCGGGATGCCATGGCACTTTACCCAGGGGGATAGCTTGAGGCTCTGTCTCAAAAAAAAAAAAAAAAAAAAGAATTCTTGAGAGCAAAATTATCAAAGACATCAGATGAAAGACTGAACATCCAACACCAACCCAGGAACAGAAATGGAAGCAACTATCTTCCACATCATCACAGTGTTCCATTAGATTGGTTAAATGAATACACAAATGTTACTTTAAAAAGTTTCAAGTTGTCAACTGTCGCAAAAGAAATAATATGTAAACAGGCAGATAACAGAATAAAGATTCAAAGGCCAGATGAGTTTGTTAGATGTGGCAAGATGAAAATGAACACAAATATCAACAAAAAAATGCCCTGGTACAAATGGCTTCACACCAGAATTTTATCCAACCTTCAAAGAAGAGGTTATACCCATTCTACAGAAACTATACCTAAAAATTGAGAAGGAAGAAATCTTCCCCAACACGTTCTATGAAGCAAACATCATCCTGATACCAAAACCAGGAAAAGAACCAACTAAAAAGGAGAACTTCAGATCCATTTCACTAATGAATATGGATGCAAAAATTCTCAAAAAAATCCTAGCCAAGAAATTACAGCTTCTCATTAAAAAAATCATACATCATGATCAAGTAGATTTCATCCCAGGGATATAAGGCTGCTTTGTCATATCAAGTCCATAAACATAACTGGCCATATCAACAGAAGCAAAAACAAAGACCATATGATCCTCTCAATAGATGCAGAAAAGCATTCGATAAAATTCAACATCCTTTTCTAATTAGAACTCTGAAGAATATAGGAATAGGTGGCACACTCTTTAAATTGATTGAAGCCATCTATGACAAACCCACAGCTAATATTATACTGAATGGAGTAAAACTGAAAGCTTTTCCACTTAGAACTGGAACAAGACGAGGTTGTCCTCTATCACCACTGCTATTCAACACAGTGCTGGAATTCTGGCCAATATGATCAGGCAAGAGAAGGTAATAAAGAGCATCCAAATGGGGGCAGGGGAAGTCAAACTCTCCCTCTTTGCTGATGATACAACCTTATACTTAGAAAACCCCAAAGACTCAACCACAAGACTCCTGAAAGTGATCAAAAATACAGTAATATCTCAGGATATAAAATCAATGTCCACAAATCAGTAGTCTTTGTATACGCCAATAACAGCCAAAAGGAGAAGCTAATCAAGGACATAATTCGCTTCACAGTCGCTTCAAAGACAACGAAATACCTAGGACTATGCAAAAGAGGTGAAGGACCTCTATGAAAAAAATTACAAAACCCTAAGAAAAGAAAATAGAAGAAGATATTAACAAATGGAAGAATATACCATGCTCGCGGCTGAGAAGAATCAACATTGTGAAAATGTCTGTATTTCCCAAAGCAATCTACAGATTAAATGCAATCACCATTAAAATACCAACATCATACTTTCAAGATTTGGGAAAAATAATTCTTTGTTTTATATGGAACCAGAAAATAACCCTGTATAGCTAAGGCAATTCTTAGTAATAAAAACAAAGCCAGGGGCATCAGCCTACCAGACTTTAGGCTGTACTACAAGCCCATAGTGATCAAAACAGCATGGTATTGGCACAATAGACATAGAGATCTGGAACTTGATAGAAAAACCAGGTGATGAAACTAATATCTTACAGCCACCTGATCTTTGATAAACCAAACAAGAACCTACACTGGGGGGAAAAATCCCTATTCAACAAATGGTGCTGGGAGAACTGGATAGCCATATGTAAAAGACTGAAACTAGACCCACACCTTTCTCCACTCACTAAAATTGATTCAAGATGGATAAAAGATCTAAATCTAAGGCATAAAACAATAAAAATCCTCCATACTTGAAGGTATCGGCCTAGGGAAAGACTTTATAAAGAAGACTTTAGTGGCAATTGCAACAACAACAAAAATAAACAAATGGGACTTAATTAAACTGAATAGCTTCTGTACAGCTAAGAAGACAACAACTAAAGCAAATAGACAACCATCAGAATGGGGAAAGATATTTGCATATTATGAATCCGACAAGAGCTTGATAACTAGGATCTACAGAGAATTTAAATTAAGCAACATAAAAAGAGCCAACAATCCCTTATATCAATGGGCAAGAGATGAATAGAACCTTCTCTAAAGAAGACAGACGAATGGCTAACATGTGGAAAAATGCTCATCACCCCGAATTATCAGAGAAATGCGAATCAAAACCACTCTGAGATATCACCTAACCCCAGTGAGAATGGTCCACATCACAAAATCTCAAAGCTGCAGATGCTGGCATGGATTGGAGAGAAGGGAACACTTTCATACTGCTGGTGGGACTGCAAACTAATAAAACCTTTTTGGAAGGAAGTACATAGAATCCTCAGAGAACTCAAATTAGACCTCTTGTTTGATCCTGCAATCTCCTTACTGGGCATCCACCCAGAAGAAAAAAAATCATTTTATCATAAGAACATTTGCACTAGACTATTGCTGCTCAATTTACAACTGCCAAATTGTAGAAACAACCTGAATGCCCACCAATCCAGGAATGGATTAACAAGCTGTGGTATATGTATACCATGGAATACCATTCAGCTACTAAAAGACAGTAACTTTACATCTTTTGTATTAACCTAGATGGAGTTAAAACACATTCTTAGTAAAGCATCACAAGAATGGATAAAATGGTAGCACCTGTGGCTCAAAAGAGTAGGGTGCCAGCCCCATATGCCAGAGGTGGTGGGTTGGTGGGTTCAAACACGGCCCTGGCCAAAAACTGCAAAGAAAAAAAAAGAAAAAAAAAAAAGAATGGAGAAGCAAGAATCCAATGCACTCAATTCTGATATGAGGACAACTGAGCTAGTACATCGCAAAGGGCGAGGGAATGGGGGAGCTGAGAGAGAGAAAGAGGGAGGAGGGCAGGAGTCACGGTGTGTGACACACCTCTTGGGGCAGGACACAATTATAAGAGGGACTTTACTTAACACATGCATGCAGTGTAACCTGGTTCTTTGTACCCCCAATGAATCCCCAACAATAATAAAAAAAAAAAGAACAGAAATAATTATCAAATGTCCTTTACTTAATTTGCTAGCTAAAGTTGCACACTGAGCAATCAGATTGCTGCCCCATGCAGGCGTCCCCTGCCAGGGGTCTGGAATCCTAATCATCAGCGCAGTGGTAGGGGAACCACACGCAGAATGGACAGGTGGCTTTGAAACACACAGAAGAATCAGTTGTGCTTTCCACTAAATATAATCCAAGCAGAAGACAAAACATAGATGTGTTGGGGAAACTGTCAAAAATATTTATGTTCTTTGCAGCCCACCTAACTCTTAAGTTCTCTTCTAAGTCTAAAAGCTAGAATTCTATAAAATTTCAAAATCACATAAAATTTTCATCCAGGTTTGAGGGACACAAAAGAAGTATGTATGCTGAACATTTTCTAAAGCAGTGGTTGTCATCTTTTTGGTATTCTCACGTTTTATCAGTGGTGTAGCAATTTTCTACACCCTCTCAAGTCTCTCTTGGTATTAAGATATATCTACATAAAAAGAAAACTTTTAATTTTAGGATAGGTAGGTCCATTTTTAAGTACGTCGTATGACAACTCAGCTTTTCAAAATATACGTAGACTGAAGACACCTTTTGAAAGCAAGGTGCACAACTGAATCGGGCATCGTGTTAAGGTCCCTGAGCGGAGGACACCTGAGCCAGCAGTTTCCCTCTCCACACTGTCCCAGAGCTGCGCTCAGCATACAGGCCTGGGAGAGAAGGCGAAGATGCGCCCAAGCCTGTCTCTCTGTCCTTTCCCTGCACAGACCACCACAGAACTGGGTCCGGTGTTCGGCACCGCAGAAAAACCAACAGGGTAAGACCTAGCTCCCGGCTGCAAGCCGCGCTCCGCAAACCCCGGCGCTAGGGCGGCTCCACTGGGACCCCCGAGACCGCGACGCGGCCGGGG